TTTGTTTTTTATGCGGTATCTTGTACTTTATACATGTAGGATGCATATCCATGACAATTTGTTTCAAAATCTGGTCAAGGATGGCCGATTGACAGCCATCTGACTTTTTGGCTTTACTACTATATTTCCATAATTTATGTACCATTTTCATTCGTATTTGGCACATACATCATACATATCAGTGTGTTTCATAATCAGATCAAAGATGGCTGAATAACGGCTGTTTTTATTTGGCCATATTACTATGACACGAAACACGTGTTTTGATGTAAATAAACAATCTGTTGTATACGCCACTTGGAACTCAAGTTTCAAGGACACGCTTGCGACAACCCCTCCGCTTTAATATGACGAGCACAAAGAGAACTTAACGGGGACTGTGTCATTTTCAATGACTTGTTGCTTTATCTACCAATCTTTCCATGGTCCATGAATTGGTTTGAATCTGTAATAGCAATTTAATTATACTCAATAATACAAAAGATATTTTAAAATTATAAAAATCACTGTTTTGTACAATATTCATGAATGTAACAAAAACACAGTACCATAAGGGACGACGTCAAAAGATCGATGTCGAAATGTTTGGCTTCAAAAGGTTTCCATCCTACAAAAACGATTTTATTTTTTAATGAAGTCAAAAAAACCTTATTTGTAGTTCGTTTTTTTCTATCCAATCATAGACAAAAATAACAGGAGGTGCCAAAAGAAACACACATCCAAGACGAGAAAATGGTTTGGCCCGAGTGTAAATATGTGCATCAAATGAGGTCAATTTTAGGGCATGGATCTAGAGCATCTGCAGAACCCAGAAAGTAGTTTGCGCATGCGTATATTCCGCTTCATTATAACAACCAACTGCTATGCCATACTAATATCCGATTATCAATTTATATTTAATGGTGAATGTAGTCTGACGCCATGATCAATATTTATCAATTAAGTTTTAGTGGGGGGGGTGGGGGGTTTGGGGAAAAAACTAAAAGAATTAAGTTTTTTATCCGACATCGATCTTTTGACGTCGTCCCTAAGTGTAGTGTACTGTTGAGTTCCAATTCATGTTGAACTGTTTTTTCACATTAGTAACTCTAACACTGTGGACTTGAATCGCTGCGAGTTATTGAAACGATGTAAAGTATTCTCTCTCAGTGATAAACGCAAAGTTACACAAGCTATGAATAAAGTACAACTATTACCAGGTAAGGCTAATATTGCATCATCATAATATGTTTGTTACATCATCATAATATGCATGTTACATCATCTTAACATGTGTGTTACATCATCATAATATGCATGTTACATCATCTTAACATGTGTGTTACATCATCATAATATGCATGTTACATCATCTTAACATGTTTTTAAATCATCATAATATGCTTGTTACATCATCTTAACATGTTTGTTACATCATCATAATATGCTTGTTACATCATCTTAACATGTGTGTTACATCATCATAATATGCATGTT